TAATATCAGAGACGAGGGCTCTCTGAACCAGTTGCCCCCCTTCACAAACTTACCCTGACCAGTGCAGGATTGGTCGCGCGGCCGAGCGGTAGCGCGCTCGCCGCTTCTTGCAGAGGTTCACCGTTCTAATCCGGCGGCCGCCCTGGTTATTACTGCGGGTGAAAAAACCCAAAATGATGCTGCGACTTGGCGTCTGCTTCGCAGTGGACGTGAATAATCACAATGACGTCATTCCCAAGAGTGGGCCGTCGTGTGCCGGCGTCAGGGGATAACATTTCAACAAAAAAAATGTACCGGCAAATGACTCAATTAGGATTTTTATACATTGCAGCAATCATTGCCCCCTACTGGCAGACTAATGCCCAGGGTCACTCTTGCAAATGCTGGTCTCTTTAGTTCTCACCTGGTTAAAGAAAAAATGAACTTGAAACTTGAATCCCCATGACCAAAACGACATAGGGAGGCTTTTATCCAGCGGTGGATTGAGAAAGGGCTACGCGCGTACACTCTGTGCACACGCAGCTTATGGTATGAGTGCTGGAGTCGCGCACTCTAATTCCGGCGTAATTTCTTTGGATAATATTTATAAACGGAAAAAATTTAAATCTGCGTATTGACCAAGAACAAAAAGATCCTGGTGCAATGTTGTGCCCTAAAATGTACACATTAACGTCAAATAAAGAACTGTTTTCTGCTGACATAAACTCGAGATTCGTTAATTTATTAATGTTTCTCTCGTTTAGATTACTCTGAAAAGCTGTATTTGAAAACAAATAGGTTTGGAAAAGCTTGCCATCTGGCATAACGTTTTGAAATATACGATTGTTAAAATAATAAAAGTACAGCGAGGGAAAAAAGTATTTGATCCCCTGCTGATTTTGTACGTTTGCCCACTGACAAAGAAATGCTCAATCTATAATTTTAATGGTAGGTTTATTTGAACAGTGAGAGACAGAATAACAACAAAAATCCAGAAATACGCATGTCAAAAATGTTATACATTGATTTGCATTTTAATGAGAGAAATAAGCATTTGACCCCCTCTCAATCAGAAAGATTTCTGGCTCCCAGGTGTCTATTATACAGGTAACGAGCTGAGATTAGGAGCACACTCTTAAAGGGAGTGTTTCTAATCTCAGCTTGTTACCTGTATAAAAGACACCTGTCCACAGAAGCAATCAATCAATCAGATTCCAAACTCTCCACCATGGCCAAGACCAAAGAGCTCTCCAAGGATGTCAGGGACAAGATTGTAGACCTCCACAATTTGAAGCTTTCGTGACTGCAAAGTCTGGAATGGGCTACAAGACCATTGCCAAGCAGCTTGGTGAGAAGGTGACAACAGTTAGTGCGATTACTCGCAAATGGAAGAAACACAAAAGAACTGTCAATCTCTCTCGGCCTGGGGCTCCATGCAAGATCTTACCTCGTGGAGTTGCAATGATCATGAGAACGGTGAGGAATCAGCCCAAAACTACACGGGAGGATCTTGTCAATGATCTCAAGGTAGCTGGGACCATAGTCACCAAGAAAACAATTGCTAATACACTATGCAGCGCCCGCAAGGTCCCCCTGCTCAAGAAAGCACATATAGATGCCCGTCTGAAGTTTGCCAATGAACATCTGAATGATTCAGAGGACAACTGGGTGAAAGTGTTGTGGTCAGATGAGACCAAAATGGAGCTCTTTGGCATCAACTCAACTCGCCTGTTTGGAGGAGGAGGAATGCTGCCTATGACCCCAAGAACACCATCCCCACCGTCAAACATGGAGGTGTAAACATTATGCTTTGGGGGTGTTTCTCTGCTAAGGGGACAGGACAACTTCACCGTATCACAGGGACGATGGACGGGGCCATGTACCGTCAAATCTTGGGGAACCTCCTTCCCTCAGCCAGGGCATTGAAAATGGGTCGTGGATGGGTATTCCAGCATGACAATGACCCAAAACATACGGCCAAGGCAACAAAGGAGTGGCTCAAGAAAAAGCACATTAAGGTCCTGGAGTGGCCTAACCAGTCTCCAGACCTTAATCCCATAGCAAATCTGTGGAGGGAGCTGAAGGTTCGAGTTGCCAAACGTCAGCCTCGAAACCTTAATGACTTGGAGAAGATCTGCAAAGAGGAGTGGGACAAAATCCCTCCTGAGATGTGCAAACCTGGTGGCCAACTACAAGAAACGTCTGACCTCTGTGATTGCCAACACGGGTTTTGCCACTAAGTACTAAGTCGTGTTTTGCAGAGGGGTCAAATACTTATTTCCCTCATTAAAATGCAAATCAATTTATAACATTTTTGACGTGCGTTTTTCTGGATTTTGTTGTTGTTATTCTGTCTCTCACTGTTCAAATAAACTTACCATTAAAATTATAGACTGATTTCTTTGGCAGTGGGCAAACGTACAAAATCAGCAGGGGATCAAATACTTTTTTTCCCTCACTGTATGTTGCAACTCTCCCCTCTGCAGCCTCCCAAAGCCCTCCTCTGCATGCTTCAAATATTTTTTTAAAAAAGCCCACACCAGGCTGCTCACCCACACCACTCTTCCCCGATACAGTTCTCACGATCCCGCTCTTGGCTGCCAGTCACATTCTGAGCGGGCCGCAAGATTGCCCTCAATGTCTCTTCACTATTTTCCATGGCTTGTCGCCGCTCCTGCCTACCTCTCTCCCCTCACATCTCGCTCTCCGCTCCAGCGATCCAAAGACAAATCCTCTGCTCAATCGGAGGTCGCTCCTTCTCTTCCTCTTCCCCCCCACCCAGTCATCCAGGCTGCCGACTCCATGCCCCTATGCAAGTATTTTGTCAAGATGTTTATCTTCTGCCTATGACTGCTGCCTCTAATAAAAATTCGTATAATAATAGATCAATGGTTTCTTGCAATGACCATGTCTCACTTTCTAAACACCGTCTTGAGATACGGCTGCACTTACATATAAATCCACATGGTATTACAGAATATCTGGCAGGTAAAGTAGCTGAAACTTTTCTCTCCTAACTCACCCACGGCACGCACACATGTGCGATTAATCTACAATGGGAATACATCTCGCACTTGGCAGCACGCATATTCCTTCTGTTATCATAGACTGTCAATAGTTTCAAAGTTTTGTTTGAATTCATGCAGACCTGGACAAACCGAGTGCTGGATACATGGCACCAAATGAGAACAATTTTCCCAGGAGATGGATTTCAGTGCCAGTGTTGTTCAGGTAAGATTCTGGATGCAATTTTAAGTGTGATAAAAACGTTGTGGGTTTGTTTTATTACCAAAAGAACCAAGAAGAAGTCTACATTATAGACTGTCAGTACGCTCATTCAGTTTAATAACCATTGCTACAGTCTACATTATAGACTGCCAATACACTCACCGAGGTTAAAAACCAGGCTACAGTTTACATTACAGACTGCCGGTACGCTCACTCAGGTTAAGAACCAGGCTACAGTCTACATTGTAGACTGCCAGTACACTCACTCAGGTTAAGAACCAGGCTACAGTCTACATTATAGACTGCCGGTACGCTCACACAGGTTAAGAACCAGGCTACAGTTTACATTATAGACTGCCAATACACTCACCCAGCCAAGTAACAATTGCTACAGTCTACATTATAGACTGCCAGTACACTCACCAAACTTAAAAATCAGGCGACAGTCTACATTGTAGGCTGCCAGTACACTCACTCCGATTAAGAACCAGGTTTCAGTCTACATGAGTGTTTTTTGGTTTGTTATTATTTGTATTTAATTTGTATTCCCTTTATTATTTTTATATCTACGTGACTTTACCGAAAGAACCAAAGAATATTACTTCCGAGAACAAATCCAATAATCGGAAAGCGTTAAAAAAATACATGCGTGTGCATTATTATACAGGGTGCTTCAAAGAAATGTTAACACTTACATGGGACTATCGTTTTTAATGGGAAAGAACGGATAATACACTGTAACATGATAAAAAAAAAGTATGTTTCACAAAGTAAAAAAGTCTCCACTTGTTCGCCATCATTGTCAACACATGCCTGGAATCTTCTCCAGAGCCCTGAGGCACATTTTTTGTGGCATTATTGCAAATTATCTGAAGTGTTAACATTTTTTTAAAGCACTCTGCAGTGTGTATATATTAATAGTTTCTCGCAGTTTTTTCCGCTGTATTAAACATGAACGTTAACGCGACAAGATCATGTCCATCCACTGCTAGATGAAGGCTTTCGGACCCCTTATTTGACCATAATTCACCATCATTTGCCATGATTCACCGACCATAACACACGTGGTCGCCCATCCAAGCTGTATCCAGGATCAAACCCGCTCAGCGTGATTGAGTCGTATTGCACACTCACTTGAATATTGTAGACCAATAATGTAGAATCTACATCCCCATGCCAGTCCCACAACTGGATGAGGGGCTACCCCGCACCGAATCGGATGGTTGAAGAGGGGGGGCGAGCCAGGAACCAGTTCAGATATCACTCGCCCACTTATGGGTCGCCGTGACCGGCAATAGAATCCAGCTGTCCGAAACTCGTAAATTGCAGGCGCGCTAATCACTTCGCCACCACTCACTCGAAATACAATTAATTAGTAACGCGCTTTCACCATCGACTTTCATCGCTCACAATTCTATGCATTTCACGACAATTATCCTCCGTGTAGCCTTAACAGATTTTTTGGGGGGAAAGCGCTGTGGGCGAGTAGCGCACCTCTGGAGCCCGGCATGACACACGAGGGGGTGAGTGGTCAGCGTCACGCCCCGGCCACCTTTGTCTCCCTAGTTGGCGAATGTTCACGCACCGCACCAGGTACTCATTTGAGACCGAGTCGACTTAGGGGAGGCCCAGGACCGGTTCAAATATTCTCCGCTGTTATTATTGGTCGTGAGCGGGAATCGAACTCGGGACGCCGGGTTTGGAGCACCACCGCCCCTTAGTTTACCATCAGCGCCCCGCCACCCGCGTCAATCCATCCCATCCACCACCGCCGCCACCGCCGCGTTATTTACCGAAAAATGCCACCAGGAACCCCTCCACCTGGCAGAGCGCATCCTCCATCAGCAGCTGGGATCGCATTGCGTTGGTGACAGTGGTCGCTACGCCTCCTCCGAGCGCCACTCCGAGGTCCGCGCACGCCAGGCTCAGCAGGGCATAGTTCAAGGGCTGCCGCAGGGCTCGGTATCGAACCGTCGTGGCCACCACGATGGAGTTCAGAGTGACGGAGGCGGCCGTGGTGACTCCCATGAGTGCGGCCAGCAGTCCGTAGCCCACGGGACCCAGAGACGGGACAGGAGTCGCCGCAGAGGTCTCGTTGGTCGAGGAGGCTTCGAGGAGGTGTGAAGAGGAGGGCTTGATGGTGGTGGATGTCATCATCATCATCATCACCATCATCGTTGTGGTCATCTTCATCGTCACCATCGTCGTTGCTATTGAGAGCGTACGTCTACAGCGTCCCCCTAAGCCGTCGTGGAGGAGACAAGGCTACCTTCCTATCAGCGAGGAAAATGAATTAACGATTAATAATCTGTGCCGCGCGTGCCTCTGGGTATGCGCATGAATGCACGCGCGCAATATAAAAGTACAAATTATCTCACGGTGCGAGTCGTTTCTGGTTGGCAACAAGAAAAAAGGATTTTCTGCGTGTTGGAATACCACCGTGTGTGTACAGGTGTGGATGGTTATTCATCTGCGTGCAACTGTGCCTGAGCTGTGTACGCGCCTGGGATCTGTGTATATATGTGTGTGTGTCGGTCTTTGTCTGTGTGTGTGTGCTACAGATGTATCTGTGTGTCTCTGTGTATGTGAATGTCGCTGTGTATGCGTAAACTGATTGTGTATATGTCTCTCTTTGTCTCTGTGCATGCGTCTGTGACTGTCTATGTGTAATTGAGTTGCGTATGTGTGTGTGTGTCTGTCTGCGTGCGCGGTGTATGCGTAAGATGCGAATGTTCGTCTTTGTGTATGCGTGTGCCACTATGTGTAAATACGTTGCGTGTGTGTGTCTTTGTGTGTATGAGTGCGAGCTGAGTACGAGCTGTGTATGCGTGTGCCACTATGTGTAAATAAGTTGCGTGTGTGCGTTGTCTCTTCGTATGTGTGTATCTCTGTGTGTGAGCTGTGTGTGATTTGTGATACGTGAGCTACGCTTCCCTTATACAGCTCTCACACCGCACGCCTTTCGGGAATGTGCGCAGGGGGTGATGATTGGGCAGGGCATTGTGAAGGGATCACAGGGGAGGCGGCAGGGGAGAGGGAGGTAACGGCAGCAATGGGGATGGGGGGGGGGAGAAGACAGGCAGCGAGCAGCATTTGGAGTTGGAGAACAGTCCGAAGGCTTCCAGAGGTAGTGGTACGGATTGCGTGTGGCGATGTGACGCGCACGTGCAATCCGGGATTAATTGCTCGCTCGATATCATTTCCAGAACGCTTGCTGGTACGTATGTTGAACTACTTTCATACCGTGCGTAGCCATCCATGTTAATCGAATGTGCCGGGGAAGGTGAACAAACTAAACGCAAAAAAGCAGCTCTAAAGAAATGAGTTTTCAATCTAGATGATTTAAAAGTGCATAGCTCCAGTGGCTTCCTAATATCGGAAGAAAGAGCGTTCCAGACGGCCGCAGAAGCGCACCTGAAAGGGTGCGATGCGGTTATCGTCTCTGTTCGATGCCTCGGCTGCTGTTGAAGTAAGGCTAATTAGCGTAAGGCACTACCACTGAGAATAAAAAAAATGTTCCCGTGTATCCACTATAATTCTTTACCTGGCCTGTCAGGTGTTGTAGGTATATGGGATGCAATGTGGCCAAGAAAGTGTTCACCCCTTCGGTTGCGTCCTGGGACCTCTCTGGGCACTCAAGTTGGCTCTCAGACGAAGGCAAACACGAATGGCATTGGTCAAACATCCCAATGTAGCAGGGCTCCTACTGAAGAAAATTCACGATGCTCATTGAGGACTTCCTGGGTAAATAATTGGCATTATTATGATTGCATTTATCATGTTACCGTACACCCTGAATATATTCTTATCAGCAGCCTCAGATAGAATTGGGACAATATGGAGGTATGCGAGCATCTCGACTGGACCAATGTTTCAGGCAAAATGTGTTAAAGAAGGGAAATCATGGACCGGTTTTTACTCTCTGGGTCTCGTCAAAAGGGTGTGGCTAATTTAACAAATGCTTCTAGGTTTCCTGATGTGGCCACTGATCATACGTTATTAGTAATTACATAGAACCTTGTATGTTTACTATAATCCACCTTTTCAAATACACTGCATTATGATTTCATACATAACAAGCTTCTGTCCAACTCTTACCTGTAAATGTGTCAGTCAATCACAGCTTTTACTTGAGTCTCCTTCATCATACAGGCTCAGGTCAGGGTTCATTCCTACCGAAATAAACCATCAACTTATGGTATTGAAGGTGAGTTATGCACGACCTTTAACTTTAAATCGAAAGTTCAGAAATCCGCAACCGATTGCTCACCGCACTGAGGGGTGCACCACGTGTTTGGATAGATTGGTCTATTGCACTTTGATTATAATTTGCCCAGGGCCTGCTATTTTGCATTACCCATTGTTAAATAATATATCCGTATTGAGTGTCTGGTGAGCGCGGTAGTAAGTGTGTGGTGAGTTGTGCAAGTGGTGAGTTTCACGTGAATCTCAATTGACTCGTGCATGGTGACGAGTGAGTGTCAGACGAGTCTGGTGGGTGATGGGAAATCGGGCGAGTACCGTTTGGTGAGCGTAGAGGAAATGAAACGTGACTGTTGCGCACATGGCGTGTGGTCTCTCTGAGTGATCGGTGTGAGCGGCGAGTTCGCGTGGTGAGTGTCAAGTGTTTGGTGAGAATCGGGTGATTGCAAGTGGTGTGCGATGAATGTCCGATGAGTGGTGAAGGTTTGGTAAGTGTTGAGTGGTGAGCATCTGGTGAGTGCTATCTGTCGAGTGAGTGCCGTCTCGCTGTGGGTCCGGCGTCAGATGATCGAGACTCATGTCACCCTGTCCAGGTGAATGCATTTATCGATGAACAAACTCAGGGCGCACAGTGAAAACCCATGCGGATATTTCCGCAAATATTTTCAATAACCTACTCGCCGAACCGCGAATTGCAACCACCTCGCTGCCCCTGCCACGCGTGCACCACCGCACTCGCTGCTACAAAGCGTGGCCTCGTTTCAATAATTGCGACTGTTATGAACAGGCCGGTGAAAGTATAGTTGCAGGGATCGTGTGAACGCATTACGTGCGATATACACAACTCGCGAAAAACGTTTGATGGATGACATCGCGAGCTGAAGAATGGACGTGACCTCGGATGACAAATCGCACCGTTGCCACAACTCGCCATGGAACATCTTGCACGATCGTAAAGAAGCACGATTAGTCAACGTGCTCTCAAATGACATTGCAGTGCGATTAGGGGGATACGATGAAGCATGGATAAGCGTCTCAGCAGCAATCTGGGGGTAAGGAAATTGGCAGATTAAAGAGATTTTGTGGAGAACCGAGGTGTGATGACTTGCAGACTTGAAATATGCGGGAAGACAGCAGGAGCTTAGGATCTATGATCGGCTCGTATTTACGTGACATCATCAAACTCTAGTTTCACAGCTTCCCATCAACACCATCTATAAAGTGATTCCGTGTAACTCTCAAACCCATTCGGGCTGCAGGGTGGCAAGCCGATAGGAGCACAGCAAATGGGTTTGGGAGACTGTCGGTGTGGATCCTTGAGCGATATCTCCTCGCATGTGTCGTCGGCTTCCGCCAGGTTATCTGGTTTTCTCCTACATCCGTGCCGATGCAGAACCCTCCTGGAACATTACCCGAGGCACTCAGTGATTCTGTCCTGAAAACATAAATGACTTTATTCAAGAAAGATTTTGTAATTTTTCTAATGTTTTTTTTTGAAACGTGAAAACACGTACACGATGACAGTGCAATGAATGGATGTTGAGAAGCTCTAACTTAAATGTCCTTGTTTGTGTCTGCTCAGAGTCTGGTACATTTTGGAGTTTCCGCTAACTCTGGACGATGTCATATTTGCTCTTGTATACAAGAGACCCGCCAAATTGGCTTAGAGGTCAGAGTTCTGAGCTGGAACTACTGAGATTCTAGGTTCTCAGATTTATTGAGTTGATGGTCTTCGTCCAATCACCAATGATTGCTGAAAAAACCTCATCACATTAAATTTGGTTCTGCCATTCATGTGGATGATTTCCAGCTTTGAGAAAATAAAAAAAACATATCCGTCTCATGCGACAAACAACACATTCCTGCGGAGGGAGCTGGTAGGAACGTTGGGTTGCTCGGTCAATGGCCAGGGTCAACGGCGACATGGTGTATTCCGCAAATATACCCGACTGTGAGGGCGGGCACAAGCCGGCGTGAGTAGGTTAAACGTTGAGTTTTATAAGGGCACCACGGGGTGACCAGCCCCTCCCCACCCAGCCCCACCCCTCCCACCCCCCACCCAGCCCCACCCTCCCCACCCAGCCCCTCCCCACCCTCCCCACCCTCCCCACCCAGCCCCACCCTCCCCACCCAGCCCCTCCCCACCCAGCCCCACCCTCCCACCGCCCACCCAGACTGTGAGGGCGGGCACAAGCCGGCGTGAGTAGGTTAAACGTTGAGTTTTATAAGGGCACCACGGGGTGACCAGCCCCTCCCCACCCAGCCCCACCCCTCCCACCCCCCACCCAGCCCCACCCTCCCCACCCAGCCCCTCCCCACCCTCCCCACCCTCCCCACCCAGCCCCACCCTCCCCACCCAGCCCCTCCCCACCCAGCCCCACCCTCCCACCGCCCACCCAGCCCCACCCTCCCCACCCAGCCCCTCCCCACCCAGCCCCACCCTCCCAGTCCCACCCTCCCAGCCCCACCCTCCCCACCGCCCACCCTCCCCACCCAGCCCCTCCCCACCCAGCCCCACCCCTCCCACCCCCCACCCAGCCCCACCCTCCCCACCCAGCCCCTCCCCACCCTCCCCACCCTCCCCACCCAGCCCCACCCTCCCCACCCAGCCCCACCCTCCCACCGCCCACCCAGCCCCACCCTCCCCACCCAGCCCCTCCCCACCCAGCCCCACCCTCCCAGTCCCACCCTCCCAGCCCCACCCTCCCCACCGCCCACCCTCCCCACCCAGCCCCTCCCCACCCAGCCCCACCCTCCCAGCCCCACCCTCCCCATCCAGCCCCTCCCCTTCCTCCCCACCGCCCACCCTCCCCACCCAGCCCCACCCTCACCACCCTCCCCACCGAGCCCCTCCCCACCCAGCCCCACCCTCCCAACCCCACCCTCGCCATCCAGCCCCTCCCCACCCAGCCCCACCCTCCCCACCCAGCCCCTCCCCACCCAGCCCCACCCTCCCAGCCCCACCCTCCCTATCCAGCCCCTCCCCACCCTCCCCTTTCCACGCAGCCCCACCCCTCCCATTTTTGGATGCACGACGGACGGACGGACACAATAATCCCCTGTGGGCTGGTGTAACCAGGAGGTTCCTACCAGTAATATTCTTGGTAGCAAGTGGAATAGTGATGCTCCCTACTGTGAAGGGATTCATAATGTGGTTCTTTAATACCTGCTTTCACGAGCCGTTCTCGCCCACAAGGGGTCACGCTGCTAAGTGAGAGATGCAAATGTTTTCTTCGACGCATCACGTGACACCGAAAGTGCAATCCGGGATACAATGATGGAAAAAAAATCCCAAAACATTAAATATAAAATCCCACGATTATATGGTGCTCGCCACAAGTCTTGGAAGCTTATTCAGTCGTGGTCATGCTTTGGAGCGGACAATGCGAGCTGTTGTGAAGCAGCTCACGCGCTCATTGTTAACAGAATGAAGCCAGATCCAATTCTGTGGCTGCCGCATTCAAGGATAACGCACACAAAAAAATCTCCAAACTGCACAATACATGTGATTGCCTGTGTAGTAAATGCACCCAGTGTACCAGTCTATATTTGTGTGGAACGTAGAATGTTGTGTCCCATATAATAATATTCGCTCTGTGTGAATGAGCCCTACATTTCTGAGGTCATGTTTAAGTACATTGTTTGAGCCCTATAACAACCTTGGGAATTAAATCGTACACTTTTCCATGAGTATTAGTACAGTACCTCTCTGCCATTGGAATGGCGCTGCTAGTTTGGCCCATTGTGCAATAAATAAAATGTTATTTTGCAGCTGTTAGCCAGTGGTGGAAATTCCACATTCACGTGACGTGGATGGTGACGTCCCCATGCTGTGGATTCGTTGGGGGTTATTTGACCATACCTCTCCACGATAGTCAGTGCGGGTTGGTGAAGGGGAACACAGCCTTGGGAGCATAGTTCAGTACAACACAAAGGCTTTTGGTGGCACTGCCCATCCAAACATTATCCATACTTAAAAATCCTGCTTAGCTTCTGAGATCTGACGAGACAAGACGCATTCTGGGTGAAATATGATCATGAGTGTGACACAGGTATCATCAGTTAAACTTGTTGGCTTCCAGCATTACACGAGACATTATAAACCTGGGACTTTGAAAGGGTTGGTGGGTCACGCAGAGATGGAAGCCATCATCACGCAACTTGAAACACGCAATTGCTTTGACAGCGAAGTTGCCTACAGGTTTCAGTACAGCAAACCGGTTACGGGAATATCTGTGCAAGGCTTTAAGTGTACATTTCCTCTCCCTCTCACACACACTCACACACACAGAGAATCATTTTAAGAAGAAATGGGCCAAGACACGTTTTGGCAGGAACCTCCTGAAAATAAGTCTTGAGACTCAAGTCAATCTTGCCGAGTAACAACCGTCCGCGCAACCTGCATGGGTTCCTGATATTCTGTCATCAGTCTCCCACTCAAATGATCCACAGCCCTGAGGTGAGTGGTGGACATTCCACATTCCTATAGCCGGGTCTACGCCCTCCGCTGAACAACCAATGGGAACGAATTAAATCCCTTCTTTGTTTAGATTGTCATTATTATTATCGCAGTAAAAAAAAAAATTCCCACGATATCACCACACTGTTACTGTTACCAAACTATGATTACGTATATAGTCGTTGGTAATAATTATAAAACAAAGAAGTAAAAATTATATGTGGGCGTCAATTGTTTAAAAAGGGGAGGGGGGGGACAAAAAACACAATGCCCCCACCCCCTGGCGCGACCCACGTGACCAGCTTGCACGAGTCCTTATTGGTCGGCGCGCGATGACGTGGCCCTCCTTTCCGAGCAGCCCAAGGTGAGTGCAGGCGGTGCGCGGCGTTGCTCCTCGCTTGCGTTTCGCAATCCGAAGCCATCGGCCCCTTCGCCGTGGCCAAAAGTTTCGCTTTTACTGCGCGATAGAGTGGCCCGTGCAGCGGACGCAGTTATTTCGACAACTTGTCCGCTTTCACGATATTTTTTTTGCTACCACAACCCCCCGCCGTCCAGTGCAATGCGTTTATAGTTTCGCGGTTCGAGCCGCGCTCTTTGTGTCGGGCCGCGCGAGCGCGCGCTTTACGCGATACGTGGACACGTGTTGGAGCGTGAGCGCAGGGAACTTCTTCTGCGAAGAGGAGGGTGGTGGTGTGACAGCCGTCTTGCTCTGGTATTACTATATTAGTGTGTCTATTACGTTGCGTAGCAATATCGATATTTTATTTGCTAAGTGTTTTTTTTGTAAGTGCTCTTGGTTACTAGCCAAGGTGTGGTGTGTGTGTCTGAAGGGAACGTCTTAAAGAGTATTCGATTTGTTGGCGAATTGCCCATAAACCCCACCCTACATGATTAAGTAAAAATGTGTACGTCTTAAAGAGTATTCGATTTGTTGGCGAGGTGTCCAATCCACCACTAGATCCTTGATGAATTAATATTTATGATTACCACTTACGTAAGTTAGTGTGTAGGGTTTTTTTACCTTTCTCGGATACTGCAAACTGAAAAGCTAAACATGGAAATATCCCCCCCCCCCTCTTTGAGATGGGCCCATGGATCTGAGTTTGTTATCGATGCGGGTGTGGGATGATGATGAATCTTAACATAAATCTGCCTGAGGACTTGTTGCTTCCAAAGCTGACAACAATCGCTCCACTCTGACTACACCCGTCGTCGTCTTAACCCCCCTCTGAACTTATTTTAATGTGGACCCCCTTCCCAGAAGTTACTTCCAAGGTTGCGAGAAACATTTCTGAGTAAGACACAAATTGGGCTTTTTTTAAACCCCACGTGTCTGTACCAAGTAGCTTCCAAATGCCTCAACATTTTCTGCCACACTTTTGCCAGTTTTCGTGGAATTTGCTTCACCGATTCCTGCGGCTTGTCTTTACAATCCCAAGGAATTGTGTGAAGTTTACATTAAAGCCCCCCCGTGACACGTTTTATTTCCCTGCAGTTGGACCATTGTGGATGTTTTTTGATTTGGAGATTATGCTCGACTGAACACCAAGTTAATGCAGTTGGCAGCCGGGTTTGATAAAAGCCATTTCTTTTTCAGGGATGTAATCGTAAAATGTGGACCGTGCTGTTAATGGCTCTTGTTATGCAGGATTTTCCTCGAGTCTTTAACATTCACTTTACAAGTAATACTCCGCTTTACAATCGGTGATCTTCCACAAGATTACTGATGCATCTGCGATTTCGTTAGATGCATTTGAGAAGAAAATCTACCCTTACAGTGAGCAATTTCTCGTTATTTAACCGTGCATCTGATTAACTACTGAACATAGGTTTATAGTTTTAAGTGTGTGCGTTTTTTTTTCCGTTTTCTCACCACCCATTCAGCCACAAGGCCATAATGAGGACACCTTGGACAGAAAACAACCATTGGATGGGTGAGTTTTCGTTTGTAAAATCCTAGACGGTTCATGTCCAGTCCAATTGGTAACATAATATGCCTGTTGCATCTCGTACAGTGTTACATCGTTGGCGTGCGAGATATGCCACCGAGGGAGGGGTGGGAATCTATGCCATGTGCCCTGCCCCTGGGTGAATGTATACATGTGACTTGGCCCTGAGCGAATTTGTTAATATTTGTCAAGCAAAATCAACACCGTAGGATAGATTCCATTGACCTTTGGAAGTTAATTCTACTGCACAAGTTCACCTGGATTTGGTCGTGGTTTTTGTTTTCAAGTACACCACCAAGGGCATAGTTACAGGGGAGTTTTTTTTTATCATTTCGCCAATGTCAGTCTGACGAAGGTCACGGCTAGATTAGACATTCCCCAATTGGTATTTGTCAATGCTCCCTGCTCATAGCAGTGTGCAGAACACTGCCATTACTCCGCCAAAAGCATGGGCATGTTGATTTGCTACCGAGTTGGCATATGTTATGGGGCAGGGCTGGCAATTGTGTTTACTTGGAGATGCAAACCCGATATTTCATAGACTGTAACCTTATCGTGATTTGTCCCCATGTGTTTTTTTAAACGAGCGTGTGCAAATGATGCCATAGCACTTAAAAGATCTGCACCTGATCTGATTCACCGTGATAGCTTTTGCTCACTCTGATGCACACTCATGAGAGACGCTGCTTGTCCGCTCGCGTCATCTCAAGTCGAGCTAACCACGTATGTACGCCGTCTCTACCCACCCTAGGGGCACGTGGTGACGGCGAAGGGAACCGACATTCACACTTGGCTGCGGCATCTGTGCTTTGAAGTGGACGACACGTGGCACGACGTGTAAGATGGAAAATGTGTAAGATAACTGGAGTATGAGGGTGGTTCTGAGCCAGTGCAGTGGCTGTGATGGTGCTCTGCTAACAATTCCTGAGGGGTGGCCTGGGTTGAGTCCTGGGCGTCCACGCAAGATGAAACCCAAGTGTTGCGACTTAGACGTCTCAGGGCTGCACAAATATAAACTTCAAAACCGAGGAGCAAAAGCTGTGGTGAAATGTATTGCGGCATGTGGAGAAACACCTGTTGCCAATGTTAGCGTGCTTGTGTTGAAATTTGTAATCGGCAGAAAAACCAAACATGCGGCCCGTTTGGGTAGGCCTAGAATTGACTTTAGATGGAAAAAACAGGCTTGTGAAAATCATAAGGATGGAAAACCAGAGTTGATGAAATTGCCTAAAGGCTTGGGCTATGTCATTGTCGATTACTTGATGGAGACTTAACGGCAAAACTTTGGACATGCCTCGTTTCATATCAACATATTTGCAAATTACATTGGTCGTGTAATTATTGGCGATTTTTGGATCATCCCCCTTGAAACACCCGAGGCGTCTAAGCAATGTGCATTCACCAAAAAAGCGTTTGTATTCGGTTAAGTCTTCCATGCTAACTTCTGGGATAAACGAGGTTTTAGTTCCAACCAGTTACAAGGGTCATGATTAGTCTTGCCATAACCTCTTGTTAAAACTGAGCTGGGCCGTGGACAAAGTGTGATCGCTTTTTTCCAATGTCGCCTTTGTCCTTCAATGGCAATTGCCTCATGGGAGCAATGAAATATTGCCACATCCACGTGGCAGTTTCTGAACTGGCTGTTCCTAAAATTCGTATCCCATCCATGACGACGAGGTTGCTCTGGGAAAGCACAATTTTGCAGTGGTTCAAAGCAAAAAGCCGACATGACAAATTTCAGTTTCCACAACTACAAAAGTGGTGGCTATGCCAATGAAAGGAAAAGTTTTAAAAGTGTCGGTGAAATCTTGTAATTCACCAGCTCCTGAATGCGTTCTACCGGAACGGTGCTGACTTGCTATTTATGCATTTCGCTCCTAAGGCATAAAATAAACCACGTTAAGGGACTGGTAATAATGTGTAAGCAAAACTGTAAACAAATTTCATTGGCGCTGCCTTGTAACAGATTTATATCAGCCTCACTGGATGGAAATGCACTTGAGTTACAAAAGACGTTCCCTTTGAAAAAAGGCTGATGGATGAATTATCGACGTTAACTTTGTCTTAACAATGTGTGAACTAAATTGAGGAGTGCTGTGTAAATTCTGTAAAATGCATATTGAAAGTCCCTTAATTTATTTTGCAACTGTTGTGGAGTATCCTGCAGTTGGTTTGCGCTTGCCGTATTTATGGTAAATTATACATGTGAATTAAATTGTATTTAACGTATTTCTTGTGAATTGTGTAATAAAAAAAAATCTGCAACTAACGTTAAAACGGCGTTTGATGGGATTTTCTGTGCGTGGACCTGATTGGCACGTTGACCGGTGTCTTGTCTAAAAGAAGAATCAAACTCAGCATGGGGTGCCGGTTATGCGACTTTATATGCGCGCAGATGTGCAAATAATTTTTCTACTGAATGGGTTAATGCTTCCAGGAGACTGCTTAGGGGTGACTTACCCGCCGAAGAATTGAGCGCATCTTTATGACAACCACAGGAAGTTTAATATGACACAACACTGAAATGGGGGGGGGGGGAAACGCAGCTGAAGGCTTTTGACGGATCTGGCCACGTTCTGCCGGTTGTAAATTTATGGTTGGGACTTTTTAAAGTGTCAACTTAAAAAGGGGTGTAATTCGACCGGAGGTGGTAAAGATGTCACCACTGCTAGCTGCTGGGCCTCCACTCGAGGGAATTTGAGGGTGTTGCCTCATCGTGGTGTCCGGACGTCTGAAAATTTCAAACCTAAACTTATTTGATTAGGTAAGGCTCACCGAGCTGTATGGCTTTTTTTGTAACGGAAGTGGCTTGTGGAAATTTATAGCAACCAAAAATACTCGACGTATGTTTCTAAGCGGTGGGAACAACTGGAGGACCCAGAGAAAAATCTACGCAACCGCTGGGATAACGGGCAAACTTCAAATACGGGTCGGGATCGAACCAACCTGTACACTGGGCGAGGTAGTCAACATCACCGTGCCGATTTGGTAATGCCCGCAAATAACTCCACACGCGACATTTTGGTGAAGACACTGCCCATTTGAAATTGCTGTAATCTGGATAGCAAGTCGAGTGTGCAAAATGTTACTTCAACCACAGCCTCTTAGAATTGGACAATCTCCAAAAGCTAAGCTCATGTGGTCTGCATGTTTGTTGTAGTACACTTGCATAACTAGTATTGATTGTTACTCTTTGAATAATTGCCTTTCAGTTACCTGGCTTAATTGAACACGAGAGTACAGTTATTTTCAGTTGCATTCCTATAAAAGCTCGAACACGGAAAGTAATTTGATCCAGCCAAGACAATTGTACATGGATCCAACCTATAATTGCCTGCAGACAATTCACATCGTCAGAACCACGTGGCGTTCGGGAAACCCAACGTCGGCAAATCGTTTTACCCAAGCAGCCTATCTCCTATTGCGTGAGAATAACCGAATACTTCACTGTTAACATTCGTTGTACAGGGTACACACATCATTAGACCTTTGCCAGTACCAAAATGTAATAGGGTTTTTCCCCTTTTTTCTGGCAACAAAACTGAAACCTTTTTACGAGGATTCATGTCTGCATTAACCACAATACCTGTAGTCAAAATGCCTTTTGGCGTCATCTGGTCGAGCACCAATTGGGTCGAGGCTCAAAAGAAAGCCGTCCCTTGGTGTGGACCAATCAGTTTCAAGGACAATGCATATATTATCATAGTATGTTTTTTTATTTGCGTTTTGACTGCAGGTATTGTGGTTAATGCAGACATGAATCCTTGTAAAAAGGTTTCAGTTGCCAAAAAAGGGGAAAAACTCTATTATTATTACATATTAGGGTACACACAGTTGATGCATCCAGCACGTGCTGATTTTTTCCACAGGTCGTGTTGTAGGACAGCGGTCCCCAACCTTCTTGGCACCTGGGACCGGTTTCGTGGAAGACAATTTTTTCACGGACCGGGGGGGGGAGTTCATAATTTGGGTCTTTCCCCCTTTTCAAAGAAGCTCTCCAGCGACGTGTTTTACTCATTGTGGCTACTAGGGGTTAGAGCTTGTGGGCTTACCAACACTGACTGACGAGTGCGCAGTGCGGGAAAGAGGCGCGGACGGAAGTGGTAAATAATAAAATAATGGGGGCGGGTTCCACGCGCGGACTCACCGCTCTCACCTCCTGCTGCTGTGCGGCCCGGTTCCTAACAGGCCACGGACCGGTACCGGTCCGCGGGCTGGGGATCCCTGTTGTAGGATAATTCTTGCCAGCAGAGGGCAGACTCGCACAATCAGGTGGCGTTGTGAATACTTTTGAACCACGCGAGGGCGCATCGTCATTCCAACGCGGGTTTAAAAAAAAAACACATTTTAATGTCGTACAATTAAATTCGTGGAAAATATAAATGGACTTTGATCCGAGGTGGCCGCTGGAGTGGCTTCGGGCAGAGCGCTGAGCTGGCTCCGCTGGGTTGCTGTGTTCGAATCCAGACCGCTGACCGTGATTTAAACGTAGTGAGCTAATGGTATCAGCCTGGTCACCAATTACTGCGCACTAAACGTATCACATTGAATTTGATCTTAATATGTTGGTGTTAATGTCATATGGCGATCCCATAAAGTTTATGGATAAGCGTCAATGATACAAGTTTTTTTTTCAGAAATACTGAAAAATATCTTCTGCGAGCGGTTCTCTGACACGGGGTCCACTGCTCTTAAAGTTTCTGAATGGATTATACATCTCGTGACTCGAACCCAATCTAGGCAATACGAATGAATGGTTCAACGATGTTTGAAATTTCGTAGAACACGACTTAAGCTGCTGCAGATAGTCGTAAGTGTGCGTTTGTTCAATCACATTCTTTGTTGAAGAACTGTACACGTTCTAATGACGCTAGACTTATGTATTGCTTATTCACCCACACTGGACGTTTGTGAATAGGGGCTTCATAGCTCATCGGAATTCCTCCAGTCTACGGATTCTGGTGTCAAAAACAGGGCAGTGTGTACACGTATCCCTATCGCCTCTTCACGTACGTACCAGTGTGTATCAATAGGCGCTCGCTAACAGCACTTGAACCAACAATCCGGCTAAGTGAAGTCTGTAGATAATAAGTCGGCACTAGCAGGGTTAAGTGATGACATTTGCACGACCCATAAGTTGCCCCTTGACCTCTCGGCGCTTGCTTGAGCAGCTGGGAGGAGGGAGGGCTGTAGGGGGTTCACGTGTAAATGCGCAGCTCGCAGACTCTGAATATTTACACTGGAGGAATCCGATGAGCTATAAAGCTCTTTTCCGCAGATGTCCAGTCGACCAGAAATTGGTCGCTTAGCGCCACCGCTATTGGAAGGGCCTCTAGGAGAGAGCCCATTCTAGAGGTCATTTAGGCTCATCTCCCATGCTGGACATACGTCTGTGAAGAGGCGTCAGTACCCACACGTCACCCCACCACAAGAGGCCTGTCAACCCACAGCCTGTGTTGTTGTGTGCCTCGTGATCCTGCGAGGCGGTTTAAGAAGTGTGCATTGTTTCACTGGCCACGTCGAAAAATCCAACTGGCGATCTACTGGATTGCAATACAGTACACATCCTGCGCTCCTGTAGATGGTTCCGAGTTCAAATAAAATGCTTGTGAAAGCAGAACTCTTCTGCATCTTCAGCAATAAAATACAAATGTTTAGTCCATCATCCTTTTGGTTTTCTAGACCAATGTAAAGTGGGATTTGTTTAAGCGTGATAACTCTGGACCGGGTTTGCCCTCCCTGTGTCTCATCAGCAGAGTGAGGCTTGTTATACAAATCCTTCTGGGTTACCAGATCTTATTGACAAAGGGGACTCGATTGCAATGATGGGGCTCCGTTAAACTCAAGACGATTACCGTTTGAGTAACATGCCGATTGCTAACATTGGCCCGTAAAGGCAAAGGCGGGGGGGGGGAGCTGATGGGACTAAGGCACATTGCGTGCGCGTGTGTGGAGCGGCGAAGGGAGCTCAGCTCTACACGTGGTTTGCAACTCCAGTGCGTCGCTGTAGGGGGCTCGCCCGAGACAATCCCGGAGGGACTGTGGGCAACTGGCCGTGGGGGCGAGGCTCATGCGCCACGCAGCTCATTTCCGAAACGCTTCTCTTTGCTTTGTGAGCCGGAAAAAATAAAAAATCGCCAAGTGAAGTGGCTCCAGTCGCCTTTAATCTCCCCACGGCCCCGCAACAAACACCGACGAGGAGTGGGGGAGACATTTCCTTACCGAGGGAAGTGCCGGATCCTCCTAGTAGCAAAAGTAGCTGCATATGTAGTAGCTACTACAGATGTAGTAGCTGCTACATAAGCTACGGGCCCCGCACTTTCAAGGGTCCGCGCGCTAAATGCTTTCAATCTATGAATTCCGGTTCAGTGATTCTGCACCTGCTCTATTACTATAGTACTATACTGCCTTCAACTTTTATGAACGACTGGGTGTTTAAGGTTAGCGATTTGTCGTATTATCTGGCTGTATAGCAAATGAAAAAAATACAATGACTATACTATGCAAGTTAAACATTTATGTGTTTTAATATTAATGTTTTGTTTTATTTAGGGCCCCTTTATAACATATGCTACAGGCCCCGCACTAGCTTAATTCGGCACTGACTGAGGGCCGAATGGGACTTTGAAATAGGTTTGACAGGTAACCATACATTAGCCCACGCACCGTAACGTTATACGTGAATAACGCTAGACGTCATTCGGGGCTCATTGTGTGTCCAACGTTGTTGAAAATAACCCCGTCTAGCACCAGATTAGTGTGGCCAGGATGCTTGCAGTGACGGATAGCTGCCGTTTCCCGGACGATTTGGAGGTGGCAGGATCAGAGCTCGTGAACCCACAGGTCGTATGAAACGAAAGTCGCGGGACGGATCTGGCACCAGGGCCGGATTCAGATTTTGTAGGCCCCTGGGCTATAGGTACCGTGAGGCCCCCAGTAATATTTTCAAAAGGAAAACAAAGTGAAAGAAAAATAAAATGTATTTTTACAAGACTAACAACCAATAAAATTCAGCATTCACAAATGAAATAACTTTTCACTTAATCTCTGGAGGCCCTCCAGCTGGCAGAGGCCCCTGGGATGCAGCCCCTAAAGCCCCCCGTGCCTTAATCCGGCCCTGTCTGGCACCCATGGCCGAGATGGGTTCCCCCAGCCCTTCGGAAACTTCATGATAGGGTTCACACATTTTGGGCACGGTTCCTCTACCAATTCGCGAAGGACACGTGCGCGTCCAGTATGACAGTGACGACGTGCTGTGAGTATCGAGACTTGTAGGA